ACCTGTAGTCCCAGCTACTCAGGAGGCTGAGGCAAGAGAATCGCCTAAGCCCAGGAATTGGAGGTTGCTGTGAACTATGACGTCATGGCACTCTACCAAGGGCAATAAAGTGAGACTCTGTCTCTACAAAAAAAAAAAATTCCTATTTACTTGAATGCTTCCTAAGGAAACAGAGGCCAGACAAAGGGGCTATGTGCTCTGACGGAAAAATCTAACCACGAAATTTGAAACAACCGAGCCATATATTCTTTTCATAAATAGGAAAAGCTTTTAAGCCTCTTTGTATCATTAGTAAGTTATTGATTGAATTTGAGTAATTTTACCTATTTTATATTCTGGTAGATTTATGCAAAGAACTTTTTTTTTTTTTTGAGACAGAGTGTCACTCTTTTGCCTTGGGGAGAGTGCCCTGGCATCATCATATATCACAACAACCTCAAACTCTCAGGTTCAAAAAGTCCTCTTGCCTCAGCCTCCAGAATAGCTGAGACTACAGGCATGTGCTACTATGCCCAGCTAACTGGGGTTTTTTTGTTTGTTTGGTTGGTTTGGTTTGGTTTTTTCTATTTTTAGTACAGACAGGGTCTCACTCTTGCTCAGGCTGGTCTTAAACTCCTGAGGTGATCCACCCATCTCAGCCTCCCAGAGTGTGAGGATTACAGGTATGAGCCACTACACCCAGCATTAAGAATTTATTACATTTAGTACATAAGAGGACATAAATTGTATTTGTCCCAGCTACCTTGGAGGCCGAAGCAAGAGAATCGCTTGAACCCAAAGTTTGAGGTTGCTGTGAGCTATGACGCAACGGCACTCTACTGGGGTAACAAAGGGAGACTGTGTCTCAAAAAAATAAAGAAAGAAAGAAAAGCAGAAAAATTAACTGAGTGTCATGGCAGCAGCCTATAGTTCCAGCTACTGGGGAGGCTGAGACAAGAGGATCACTCAAACCCAAGAGTTTGTGGTTGCTGTTTGTGGCTGCTAAAGCCAAGGCGCTCTAGCCCAGGTGACAGAATCCTATCACACACACAAAACAGATCAGGTTATATTGGATTAGAGGAGGTGCTAAATCCAACCACTGGGGCTCTTATGAGGCACAGGGACTCACAGGAAGAATGCCATGTGACTACAGAGGCAGAGATTGGAAGGACACAAGCCAGGATGGCCGGCAAGGATCAGACACTGAGAGCAGCCAGGAGCAGACTCTCCTTAGAGCCTCCAAAGAGATGCCAACACCTCGATTTCAGACCTCCAGCCTCCAGAACTGCGGGAGAACAAATTCCCATTGTTTTAAGCCAGCCTATGTGGTGCTTTGTTAGGGCATCCCTATGAAACAGAAGTGCCACCGAAGGCCTTGCCACTAGCTGTTGCTACTTCCAGAACGTCCTTCCTCCAAACTTCCAGATAGCTCACTCAGCTCTGTCAAGGCTTTGCCAACAAGACATTTGAAAACTGCGGCTCCTCACATCTGCACTGACAGCCTCCTTACCCTGCTCTAATTCATCTTTGTACTTATAACCTTCTAACATACTATAGTTTCTCGATTAGGTTTATTGTTTATTATATGGCATAATCTTTGTTAGAATGTGAGCTTGATAAGGGTAGAGAAGCTATTTCTTTCTTTTTTTTTTCCTTCTATGAAGAAAGGAAGATTTATGGCTTAAAAATATTGTTTATGAAAATGTTGTAAGCTGCTGGGCACAGTGGCTCATGCCTATAATCCCAGCACTTGGGAGGCTTAGGCAGGTGGATTTCTTGAGCTCACAGGTTTGAGACCAGCCTGAGCCAGAGCGAGACCTCATCTCTAAAAATAGCCAGGCATTCTGGCAGGTGTCTGTAGTCCCAGCTGCTTGGGAGGCTGAGGCAAGTGAATCGCTTGAGCCCAGTTTGAGGTTGCTGTGAGCTATGATGCCATGGCACTCTACCAAGGATGACAAAGGGAGACTCTGTCTCAAAAAAAAATTTATAAGCTAATCATAGTGTTGCTTCTCTGGGAGCTAAGGCAGGAGAATTACTTGAGCCCAGGAGTTGGAGGCCAGCCTGGACAACATAGCAAGATCCCTGTATTTAAAAAATAAAGTTGTAAATTTGATGATTACAATAGCAAATTATAAAATATATCCATTATTCCCCCCAAAGCCACAAGGGAGCAACATGCCACACAGACCCACTGTTATGGACTGAATTGTATCCCCCCAAATCATATATGAAGTAATATATAATTTTATATATATATATATGTATATATAATCATATTTGAAAATAGGGCCTTTAATGAGGTAATTAAAGATAAGTAAAGTTGTTAAGTGTGAGACCCTAATCCAATAGTACTGATATCCATATAAAGAAAGAGATGTCTGGCTCGGTGCCTGTGGCTCAAGCAGCTAAGGCGCCAGCCACATACACCTAAGGTGG